ATTAAAATAAGTTCACAAGCACCAAAACATGACCTTGAATATATCACCCTTGAATTTAGAGGCCATTTCAAGGACAGATTTGATGCATTAGACAACAGTGCCTGAAGACCACAAGAATTGTGGGATGGCATCACGAACATCATACAGGAAGAAAGCTAAGGATTATAGCAGAATATAAAAAGAAAGTTTCCAGAAATTCAAGTTGGATTCAAAAGAGGATGTGAAACAAGGTATATCATTGCAAATGCCAAGCTGTATCTGCCTAAAAGTAGAGAATATGAGAAAGATGTTTACTTAATGCTTTATTGATTATGAAATGGCATTCAAGCTATGTGGATCATAACACACTATGGATAAGATTGGGAAGAATGGGTACTGCAGAACACTTATTTATACTCATGAAGAACCTGTACGTTGACTAATAGGCAGTTGTTCAAAGAGAACAAGGGGTACTGAATGGTTTAAAATACAACCAGGCTTGTATCCTTTCACCAGATTTGTTCAATCTATTAGCTAAGTAAACAACCAGAAACTGGTTTATAGGAAGGAGAATGTGACATCAGGACTGGAGTAATACTCATTAACAACCTGTGGTATGCAGATGATATAATCTAGATTTCTGGAAACTAAGAGCATTTAAAATACTTACTGATGAAATCAAACACTGCAGCCTTCAGTATAATTACACCTCAAAGCAAATAAAATAAAATCTTCACAACTGGACCGATAAATAGCATTATGATAAAGAGAGAAAAGATTAAAGTTATCTAAGACTTCATATGCTTGGACCCATTTTTAACACACCTGGAAACAGCAGCCACAAAATCAAACAACTGTTGCATTAGGCAAATCTGCTGCATAACACTTCTTGAAAATATCTAAGAGCCAAGATGTCATTTTGAGGACTAAGGTGTACCTTATCCAAACCATGGTATTTTCAGTGCCCTCATGCATGTGTATTCCTGGTATGGTGCTGAAAGGTTGGTTTGAACAGTAAGGTCAACAGTTCAAACTCACCAGCTGCGTCTTGGAAACTATACACAGGGTTGCTATGAGTTGGGACTGATTCAATGGCATTTAAGAACAACAACAACATATGCATGTGAAAGTTGGACAATGAATAAGGAAGACTGGAGAAGAATCTATACAATTGAATTATGGTGCTGGTGAAGAGTGTTGAAATTGAACTGCCAGAAGAACAAATAGTTGGAAGAAGTATAGACAGAATACTCCTCATAAGCGAGAATGGTGAGACTCCATCTTTTGTTCTTTGGACATGTTGTCAGGAGGGATCAGTCTTTGGTGACAGACATCATGCTTGGTTAAGTGGAAAGTCAATGAAAAAGAGGAAGACCCCATGTGATGGTTTCACACAGTGAGAATAACATTGGACTCAAATATAGCAAAACTTGAAAGGATGGTACATGACTGGACAGTGATTCGTTTTGTTGTACATAGTGCTTCTATGTGTCAGAATGGACTGGAAGGCACCTAACAACAACATCTGCATTAACCATTCATCCTTCTGTCATTCATTAAAAACCAACATTCACATTTATAATAGGAAGCTATTGATTCTGATTGGAGCAATTGAAATTATATATATTTGCCAGAAAGATCACCAGTGCTATCTCTTCCGGGACACCTAGCTCATGTCCCTTGTCTTTGCAAATGACTACTGTTCACATAAGTGCAGCTGCACATTCTCCTCCCAAACTTCTCTTTTCTGGTTACAGAAAATGTGAGACTTCTTGTATTCATAATAATATGTGTCCAAATGATTTCCTCCATTTGGGACTTTTATTTCAGGTTTGTTTTCACCCCAAAATTGTCACCTATGTATCAAATTCATTGACCGATAAAATAAACTCCTCTATTAGTAACTCTTCTGAGCTACAAAGTAGAGGTTGCAGAGTCTGGTATGTGATTATTTGGCTTACCACTTGCTGAGAGAAATGATAGCTGAGAATTTGGCTGTGAAGGAGAAGAAAGCAAAACTCAACACAGAAGAATGACAAATAGAAGAAATAAAAGAGCACAGCTGGCTGGCACCAGGTTCTTCAACCAGTCTTAAGATTTTATTATATTTGAGTGTAAAATAACACACCTTTATTGGATGTCTATTGTTATACTGAGTTTGGACCAACTTGGTTCTTAATAACTAAAGCAGTCATTCAGTTGACAAGTGGTGTTCTCTTAGCTAAAAGTCTACTACTTAGTGCAGGCACTACAGACACAAAAAACCTACAAGATTTTTCATATTTTTCCCAATTGGTTTTAGTTCCCCAAGCATATTTTCTGAGAGATAAACATCTATCTGTTTTGGACAGATATTCTCTGTCAATTGATAGTGTTGTTATTGTTAAGTGCCATCTGGTTCTAACTCATAGCTACCCTGTATATGGTTTCTGAGGAGCAGCTGGTAAATTTGAGCCATCAACCTGTGGGTCAAACCTAACTTGTGATCCAGTGCATTATCCCACAGCAACACACCAGGACTCCATTGATAATGTTGTTAAGAGCTGTTGAGTCAGTTCCTACTCACAGAGACTCTGCAAAGGGCTTTTGAGGAATGACTGGTGAACCTGAACCTGACCTCATGGTTCAAACTGACCATGCAGTCATGTGCATTAGCCCACATCACCACACCAATGTTAGAAGATGATAATATAGTTCATGAGGTTGGTGGTATTTGTGAGTAAAACGTAGTCAAGTTTTACATATCTAACGTTAAAAACAACAACAAATGTATATTAGTTTTATTAATACTGACTAGGCTATTACTTCAAGCAATTAATTATTATTAAAACAACTCATTTACATTGGAGACAGGAAGTAGGACTCAAAGAAAATGAAAGAACATCTTTCTTACTGTCCTAATACTATAATGTCTTTCAGTTGTCTATCAGAAAATATAAAAGCATATGTAATCAGCCAGTAAAGTAAAAGAGGGAGGTAAATCATAGCCAAGGTGGTGGTGGTTATGTGCCATGGAGTCCATTCTGACTCATAGCAACCCTGTACAGGGTTTC